ATCAAGCAAGATCCTGGTCGGTTAGAATAGGAATCCTTATCCGGCCACCTATGGCAATTGTAACTGGTTAGGATTAGTTTCTAGATCTGTAACCCTGCCCCCAGGCTATATAAGGCGGGCAGGGGACCCCTCTCAAAAACAGCTCTCATTAACATACAACAATATAATCAGACGCATGACATAGGTATTACGCCTTCACGGCGGCCGAACCTGGATAAAACCTCGTGTCTGTCTTGCGTCACCATCTTGTTTGTAGCTTGCGCATCTGTCTGCCGATAATCTACTACTTTGGGCATACCCCTAGGTTGACTGTCGACCATATTTCGTCGACACAATCCAAACAGGGTAGCCCAGGGACTAAAGGATCCAAACAGACCCTATGAAAACCACAACAGATTCAGAGATCCATTTATTTAATCGTCGAAAACACATGTCAACCTTACTTTTATCTTCAAACCCTAGCTTTTTGAACTCCCTTGCTGTCTAGCACGTCTCTTGACGAGATTTGTCAGCGCTTTAGGTGGCCCTCATCCAAGAGCACGCCCACGCGTCTCGACGGCGGGTCTTTCCCAATGTCATTTGTGAGTTTTTCGGACCAAGAACAAGCATCTCATTGGCCTTGTTAATCTGCTTGTCGGCTTGCCATTGGGACCATCCGTTTGGTTCCCTCTTGTTTTGGTTTTTTTAGTCCTTTCGTTTTTTTTTTGTCCGTTTCGTTCTCTGTTCTTTTGGTTTTTTATTAGTCTTTTTGTGTTTTTTGGTGAGTCATGTTTTTTGTTTTTATTGTTTCATCAGGTTCATTTCGTGTCCACTTTCTCTTTTAGTCGTCGTTCGGATGGGTTCAGTTATTTTTTAACATCTGTCCCCCGCACTTGGTGGTTTTTTCTTTTTCTCATAAACGTCAAAAGCAAATAATAAATATAAAATCATGGTATTTTGAAAAATTGATTTTTTTGCCTAAGAAATAAAGGTTTTCACCATCAAATTTTAGTAGATAAGCCGATGGTCCGTTTCGCAAAAAAGAAAAAGATAAGCCGATGGTCCAACTATCAAACTATAAACTAAAATTTTAAGTAGTTTATTGTCTAATCTAGTCAAAATTTAGAGACAAATTCTTCACGTCAACAACTAACTTTTTGAGACTTTAATCAGATATTAGAATTACATATTTTTATGGGTTCTAAAAAGGTCATAGAACTCCCATATTTTAACTATAGCAACACATGGATAATACTCCATCCGTCCTAAATTATAAGTCATTCCACTTTTTGAGAGTTTTGACCAAATTTATATAATATAATAATAGCATTTATGATACCAACTAAGTATCATTAGATTCTTTATTAATTATATTTTCATAGTATATACCTATTTGATGTCATGAATGTTTATAATTCTTTCTATAATTTTGGTCAAACTTAAGATGCTTTGACTCCCAAAGAAAATTGAATTGACTTTAATTTGAGACGGAGGAAGTATGAAAATTAAAGTTATGATATATTTATGCCCTAAATATTTTTGTGCTCTGCAACTAGAGAAAAAATTCTATCCAGGTTGCATTTTGATTGAATACAAGCTTAACGGGGCATTGTCATATTATTATCTATATAAATTAAATTTTATTATGAATGTCCTGGTCATTATAAGCAAATTATAGCTTTTAAATTTTATAGAAATGATGAAATAGAAATAGATAGTATCGTCGTTGTCGTCATTTTCTCTGAATATTTAATAGTTTGTTTTTTCCCCTTCACCGTATGGACATGTTTGCTAGATATAAATCAATCTTAATCCCTCGAGTTATTATTATTAATAAAGTTGTACCTGTTCACGATGGCCGCAATTCTTATTGGCGAATAGCTATTAGGCGGCGGCCGCGTACGCCTCTCCTTCACCTTGCATTCTGTATGTATATTTTATATATATAAAAGGTCGTTATAATTCCTCCTATCTTGATTCTATTTATTTAATCTTAAGGCAAATCACCATCACGCTTCCTTGGTTTCATAGCCGGCGTACGTTGCAGATTGCACAACATAGTTGAAGGCGCGCAACGGCAAGATCAAGGAGATTATAGGATCAAAACACATGACAGAAATTAGCCAGAGTTCGGCTCAAAGAAACTTCCTCTGGACGGCGAGCACACTCTCTCTTATTCGTTGTCGATTGTCGAATGAATATGAATTGACATATTGAGAATTCAGTTAATTTGCATTTAAATAGTTTTTTATAAAACAGACATGCATGAATTTATTTGCTACTTGTAGTAGAAGTATACTACGCGGTAGAATTGTGAGGTGTCGCGAGGCGGTCAAGGGAGGAATACAGTACCTGAACAGGACATTTCGGGTTCCGGCGTGAATATTGGAGTAATCCTATGCATTGGAAGTTTAGATACTACAATGCAAATTCCAAACAATGGATTAATGGACAGCCTTCGTCAGGTTAGGTTTATATATGCTATTTTTTTTATCTGACATCAACTACTATTCTAACAATTCGATAATGGTACGCCATGAGCGTCTGTCCGTGACTCCCGTCCGGACGTGCCTACCAGCCCTGCGCAGGACTGGCCCCATCTCTCTCAAAAACAAAACAAAAAAAATCCCCACTCCGCTTATCCGCCCTGCGGCGTGGTCGCTCATCCGCTCGCCCCCTTCCCCCACCGCACGCCTATCTCCCGCCGCGCCGTGCCCTTCCCCCACCGCGCCGCGCCCCATCCCCCGCGAGCGGAAGGTGCTGGACGACTGCGGCCGAGCGAGCAGCAGTGTTGGAGTAGCAACAACGGGGCCACGCGGTGGGCGCGAGCCTAGGCCGCGAGAAGGCACGAGAGAATCGCAGGAGGAGCGACAGGTCATGCCGACAGGCGTGAGCGTGCGGAGCGACGTCCCCCTGACTCAAGCTTGCTGACTACCGCAGTTCCCCATCATGTGGGCCGTGGCTGCCGGCGATGCCATGTTTCAAATATTTCAGGCGTTTCAGACTTATGTTTCAAGTGTTTCATCTGGATGTTGCAAAAGTATATTTGAGATATTGCATATGTTGTAATGACAATATACGCATGTTGCAAACGTATGTTTTCAAGTGTTTTAGGTGTTTTAGACGAGTGTTTCAAGTGTTTCATCTGAATGCTGCATATGTTGCTATGACTATACACGCATGTTTCAAGTGTATGTGTTTTCAAGCGTTTTAGATGTTTCAGACTTATGTTGCAATTGTTTTATATGGATATTGCATATGTTGCTATGGTTATACACGCATCACTACTACAAAAAGTTTATCCTCGCCGGTTCCAGATCACCCTTCACCTATGGTTTTGGCCTTCATTGGTAAAAGTCGTTGGTGATAGTCTGCCTCATCACTGCCGGTTGCGCACCGGCGGAGGTATTGGTCATCACCACCAGATTAGAGTACGATCCAGCGGTGTTGTCGGTTACTTCACCGCGGCATCAGAGTATGATCCTGTGGCATTTGGTCACGTACCACCGCCAGTGTTGCGGACGATCCGACAGCGATGACGGGGACAACATTCGGTTCGGCGTACCATCCGGTGGCGATGACGGGGGCAACAACATCGGTTCGGCGTACCATCCGGCAGCGATGACGAGACATCAACGTCGGTCCAGGTTATGATCCGATGTTGATGTAGTTACCAGCACAGCCGGTCGTTGTTCGATCTGGCGGTGTTGATGCCGGTATCACCATCTTTCTGGCGTACTATGTGGTGGTGAAGCCCTCTCCATCACCGCTGTAGTTGTGGCGATGTTGTTACTATCATCACCACCGGTTGATTCCATATCACCAATGATTTGGACAAGCTGTTAGTGATACTACATTTTCCAGAATCAATTATAATAATAATAGAAATATTATTTTGATTACACTAGACCTAGGTCGTATACATATACACAATGTCATAACATATACATCACTACCAAGACACAGTTCTATAAAATACATCCAACCACAAGAATGACATGTTGTTTGAGAACACATAACCAAAAGAAACCGACATTACAAGGTGAAGAACATTAGCACCTTCATTACCTACGACAATGGTCTCCATCGAGATTCACGGCTAGGTCCATAATGAAACTGTCAAGGTGTTTTTGCATGTTTGAAGTGTTTCATTTATTTCTGACGTATGTTGCAAATATTTTATTTGTATGTTTTAAAACTAGATCGGGTATTTGCATATGTTGCAATAGGTGCTGGTGGCTAGTGGACAGTGGCCTACCGCAGCCACCTGGTGGTGGTGCTGCTGGGGCGCCGCCATGGTTCACGTGCGGGCGCCTATGGCCGGCAGACGCCTCCGTAGCGTGCATTCGCAGGCGGGGCAGCTGACTTGGGACCCATGTAGTTTTCCCTGTGTGGGCGTGGGATGGGCACGGGGCCAGTTTCGAACGCTAGCGCGTGATGCAGGCGGGCGTGGGACATGGGACATGGGACATGGGATGCAATGCGGGCGGGCGCGGGATGCGATGTAGGAGCGTCGGTCGGAAGCTACGTCCGGACACGTCCTGTGGACGGACGTCCGGATACTAGCCCTTCGGATAACAATTAGAGTAAAATACTCAGCATCAATGTGTTGGACCCAACCATTGTGACTTGGGTAACTCAGAATCTTCTTGTAACCGTCGTCAAATTATGGAGACAAGGTCATCAGAGTCCAAGACAACAACAAAAGCACAAACCGATACTCACCCTGTTCGTTGGTTGGTGCTGGTGCTGTTTGAGCTGACTGATGCTGATTTTTTATGAGAGAAAAACATTATTGAGTGGTTAAATAAGCAACAAGCGAACATGTGACCGATGACAACCTCGATGGATTCCTTTGCCATCTTGCTCTATCCACCAACTCACGTACACTCCGATGACAGATAATAAAACCAACGATCATCTCGTCACGCACGACGAATGCATCCTATAAAAGCACCGGTCGGATTCTTGGCCGCACGCACGAAGCGAGCTCACGAGCCAAGCCACGGCCGGCGACGACCATGACGACCTGGTTCAGCTGCTCCTCCAGGAAGGCGGCGCGGGGCCAGCACGTGAAGCTGTTGTTCCCGGGTGGCCACGTCGAGCTGCTGGACCGCCCGACGCTGGCCGCGGACGTGATGGCGCGGCACCCGCGGTTCTGCGTGGCGCGGCCCGACGTGTTCCGGGAGCCTGCGGCTGCCGGCGCGGTCGCCGCGCCGGACGCCGTCCTGCAGCTCGGGCACAAGTACTACGTCGTGCCGTGCCGCACCGTGCGGAGGCTGCAGAAGTACTCCGCCGCGTCAACCTCAACCTCATCCTCCCGCAGCGGCGGCAGGCGCGGCGGCAGTAGCGGAGCCGCCGTGACGCTGAAGCGGCACCTCGCCAGCGAGAGGGGGCACAAGGTCGGCGGCAGGAGGTGGTTCCGGTGCCTTGTGGGTGGCAGCGGCGGCGGAGCCCAGGCGCAGTCGCAGTCGCAGTCGCAGAGGCCCCGTGAAAACGTCGGCCACAGCGGCAAAGCCGAGACGGTGAGGACGAGGAGGAAGCTAGACGTGAAAGAAACCAATAAGGAGAGCGGGAAGGCGCCCGGTGGAGGGTCGCCGGGAAGGCGGCGGCGGCGAGGCCCCTCGCCGGGTAACTCGGCGTCCTATTCTTGGCAGCCGAGCCTTCACAGCATAACCGAAGAGTAAATCGCAGGGGATGGGGCGCCGCATCCGTCTGTATCTTTCTCTGACTCCATCTCTGTCTTAAACTCTGATGAGACGGCTGGCTGCTGTTTTCGTCGCCAGTACGCAGTTCTTCCTCCCTTGGCGTGTGCGTGCGCTCGACATGCCTTTGGTTCCTTGCTGCCGATTTGCCTTCCCGCGTACGGTCTCTTTCTCTCCCATGTTCGTCAAGGCATGCCATAGAGGAACGAACCATTGACGCCGTTGGACGCAGAGCCGGCGAGCCGCGCGCACATCCTCTGACCACTGGTGGGGGTGGTCGTGGTCTTCGTTTGCGTGCCCACACGGAAGGCCACCGCAGCTGATCCTACTATTTTTTTTCCATGTCCGGCCTAGCTGCTGCTGCGGCCGTTCGTCCATATCCAGAGGTGAGCATGACGAGTTCGTCAGCTATCTCCTCTCCGGCTCTCCCTTCCCTGTGCCTCGCCCAGAGGCCCAGAGCAACAGTGCGTCAGAACACCAGCACGCCATCGTCGCGTATACAGCTCCATCCACCATTGCCAAACTCAAATCAGAGAAACAAGCATCTTCATGGCGTCCCCGTCGGGCGTCGGCATCTGGCACTGGAGCTGATCTGCTGATGCCCACGTCAGCAGCGTTCATGGAACCCGGCGGCCGGCGGGAGGCGATATGATCAAATTAATCCATGCGAATTGTGAGGTGGTACATTAGTGTAGCTTAATTTCCATTTATTTTATGACTTTTGCTATTTATTTGTTGACAGATTTTTATGTACTAAATCTGTCAGATTTCTATATGTTTGATTGCGCTTTAGGATTTGTGCTATAAGTGTGTACCGAGTCGCATGTATAAAAATTTGACCACATAAAATCTGTCGGTAGATAACTAGACCCTCCCTTATTTTGTATACACTTCTATATTTTAGATGTCTTAATTTTAAGATGATTTCAGACAATATTTTTGTACCACCGACTAAGTACAAATAAATTGTTATTTTTATGATTTATTATTTATCTTTGTGTCATAATATATTAAATTTTTATCCTTGTGTGACTATAGAAATAATTATAAATTGTTAATTGTCTTTGTGCTAACACAAATCAGATTTTGTCATATTTGTGATTTTGTCCAGCGGGGTTTTTTTATTTTTGGAACCTGAAATTACATATTGTACCTAAGGTTGCAATTTTAATATAAAGTATATACCACTACTACAAAATTGATTTTAGGAGACAAGCCATTTTATTAACGGAGGCGGTCACAAAATGTAGGTGTTTCCTAAAATATGTAAGCATTTTTGGAGACGGATATTTTATTTACGGAGGCAGTCACAATTGACCGTCTCGTAAAATAGATTTACGGAGACGAACATTTTATTTACGGATGTGGTAAAAAATGCCCATCTCGTAAAGTTGATTTACAAAATCGGGCGTCTTAAGAGGTCCGCCTTTGAAAATAGAGCCTATTTCTAGAGACGGGCCTCCTGTGAGCCTGCCTCTGCCGAGGCCTAGCCGGGCCGCTAAGCTACTCCGCATGTATACACTCAAATACAAAACCCTAGCCTAGTCGTGTCATTTCTCTCTACGCTGTTAGCCGGGACTCCTCCCGCTTCCCTTCTTTAAGAAAAAAGTCGGCCGTCGGGACTCCTCTTCCTCCGCTTCCTCATCGGTAGCCTCCCCTCTTCTTCGATCGTCCTCCCTCCCTCTCCCTCGTCCCCCGGCGGATGCGAGGACCCCATGGCAGACGTGAGGATCCCGATGCGGAGTGCCGCACGGTTGATCTGCGCTATCTGGCTCAACGAAGGTCCACCAAATCCGGCACAGATCTAGCTCGGTGTGGCGCAGGGGTTGCCCATGTGGTCGGTGCCGTTTGCAAGCCCGTGCCTATCAGAGGAGGTATGGCCCTCATCCTATCTCTCCTCTCTCAATCTCAATCTCCCTCACGCTCCCTCCCTTGCAAATCCACGATAAGAACACAACCCGACGACGGTAACACGCGGGGGCTGCAGAGACCTCCGGCGCCGGCGGTGCGGGGGCTGCAATGGGCTCCCCCTCGGTGGCTATGGCATGGGCTGAGGCGAGCCACGGTGACCATAGATCTGGCAGCGGCTATGCAGGCTAGGGCGAGCAACAACAACTACGACGGCGCGGTGGGCAGCGGGCTTGGTGATCAGCTCAATAGCGGGCTCAGTCACCAGGCTCAGCTGCCCTTTTTATTGATTTAAGAAGGCAGGCAATGGGCACCTCTTACGTTAACTATGATGAACACTGGCAGCAATGGGCACCGCCTGCATTAACTATGATTAACACATGCACCTGCACTGAGGCAGGCATGCTGCCCGCCTCTTAAAACTATTTCTAATTGTCTAGGATAATATACCTAGTAGTAGTTTATAATAATCATCGCCTGGAAGGAAACTAAAATTCAGGCACCTGAGTTTTAGCAAGTCCCTTTTATATATGACGATGATGTTGATCAGCTGAAGCCGATAGACTTTGATCGTTTGGCTGTTGTGTGTTTGAGCTCTGAAGTGTTAGCTTCGCTAATTGGGTGTGCATAGTATTATCTACTTAACCTTACTTGGTTCTCTATTGTTCTTGGATCCAGCTATTACCATTGCTTCTAGTTATAAAACATGTGTCCGAACACACACAAAACCTCTACTGATAGTTGAGGTTCCCTGCTTCACCATTTGTGTAGTCTCAGTATATACTCTCTGTGGGAGGAACTATCATTCTTGGAGAAAGTCCTCCGCGTATACCTTCCATTTGTAGTTAAGATGTAGACACTAGAAGATTGTTCGTTAAGATGGAGCCACGCCAAAGCCAGGGTGCGCTGGGTTATTCGATTTTGACTTGATCATGGATCCATACAAACTTTCACTTCAAACACGGGTGGATCCAGCATGGGGGGCTTAAGCCCCTCTGCCTACATTCCATTGAGTTAAAAGAGAGGGAGAAGAGAGAGAAAGAGGGAAGAGAGAGGAAGGAGATGGAGAGGGATGGAGAAAAATAGGAAGTTCCCCACTAGTAGAGAGAAGACTTTTGGTTCAGCACATTAGTCTCGGTTAGAATTGAACCCAGGACTAATGTGAGCATTAGTCCTGGGTCCAAGTTTCTTGCATGTCAGAGGACCTTTAGTCCCGATTGATGTTACCAACTCAGACTAAAGGGCCTTGACCCTTTAGTTCAGGTTCATAACACCAACCCTTGACCCATTAGTCCCGGTTGGTGTTATCAACCCGGATTAAAGGTCCTTTTAGTCTCGGTTGGTGTTACCAACCCGGACTAAAAGTCCTCTGATGGGTTAGTTCAAAAGGAAAGCATCCCATCCAAAGTCACATGTGTTGTGTGGGTGGGGTGGAAAGGTACGCGTGAGGCAATGTATGAGGTCTTGGGTTCGAATCTCTCGCGAGGCACAGAGGTGGGAGGCATTATTTTTTATCCTCGAAGGACCTTTAGTCTAGGTTCAACCTGGTGTCGGTGTTTTGAATCACCGACTAGTAAATTTGTATCTACGCGTCTAGCTCGGATGGTGTGCTCGGAGGACACAAAGATTTGTATTGGTTCAGGTGGAATATCCCTACGTCTAGTCTGCTACTGCTCATGTTATTGGCACTAGTTTATAGTAGGGGTTACAAACAGGTGAGAGAGGGAGTGGATCCTAGGTCTCTGGTGGAAGGATTGAAGAGTGCTGAGAGTTTGTTCAGCTGCGCGCTTGTGTCCCCACTTGTGGCGTCCTGCTTCCCCTTTTATAGGTGAAGGGAAGGCACATGTTATAGAGAGAGGAAAGGAGAAAAGCGAGGGTGAAGAAGGCCTCTAGGGCTGTTGCGTCCTTCTTTTTCATCATGAGGGTCCTGCCGACGCTGTAGATGGTGATGGGGATGGCTCCACATTGGGCTCCTATTCACCACTAGTGCCATGCCCCAATGTCATCAGCTAGGCGTGGCGTCCCATCCCATCTTGGTAGACGGCATGGTGAATCGACATGCCTGTCAGTGGCCGTAAGGGGAGTAGGCAGCACAACTACCACGCAACCATCACTGTTGGCGATGTGAACCCCCAGACATGGCCTGACGTGGCCACGAGTCATGTCGAGACGTGCCCACTTCCTTCCCGGTGTCAGAAGTTTGACCCTGGGGTCGTACCCTTAGACCTATAGTGGTTGGAGATGGTATGGATCCCCATCGAGCGAGACAGAGCCCGCGCTCTCGGTGTCGGGTGGGACGGAGCCCGTGCCCTCAGGGGCGGGCAGGTTGGCTCTCATACCCTCGGGGTCGGGCGACACGGGGCCTGTGCCCAAGGGGTCAGGTGAGACAGATCCCGTGCCCTTAGGGTCATGCGGGACGGCTCCCATACCCTCGGGGTTGGGTGACACGAGGCCTATGCCTGAGGGGTCGGGCGAGACGAAGCCCGTGCCCTCAGGGTCAGGCGAGACGACTCCCATACCCTCAGGGTCAGTCGAGACTGAAATACGTCCTTGATGATCTAGGCAAGTTTGTCGTCCACGGTCCTCAGATCTCTTCTTTGGGTATCCCTAATACTGATACCCGATAGTAGCCCCCGAGCCTGTGGAGGAGTAAGATACTCCTTCATAGGCTTTTTCGGATGGAGGGACTTCGATCTTCTACTACCCACGGGATGCCTTGGTGGGTTGCGATTCCCTTCTGTCATGATCAGGCTCCTTGGGAACATGTAGCTGTGAGATTTGGGGGACCAGAAAAGATTTCTCTTGATTCCGACCCTCCCTAGGATCCGATCGATCCGCCATCGTCATGCCACCACGTATTCGGTCTCCTTGCGAGTCCAACTTCCCTCGAGCCCCTATACGTAGCAGGGGTCTGGTCGAGGTGTCAGCTTATCTTGTGATTGTCCTCCCTCAAGCATTTTTCAATAAAATGGAGGGGCTGAGCCGTGCCATGTTTTCCTTGATGGACGAATCATGGTGCTCGGCGAGCTGTTAACGGGCTAGTCTGAGTGGGCCCCTAGCTTCCCATTCATGGG